TTCGACGACAAAGGTGGGCTTTAACTCCCTTCAATCATAAAAACTTGCGCCGATTTGCAAAGTGTTTTCCCTAGTATCTCAGCTAATCTCCCAACCACTCTGGGGAGGAAGGCCGATTTATCGTCGCCATTTCGACTCTGAGGAAAGGGAAGCCAAGTGTACTCCTAGCGCCGTGTCAAGGAAGACCGCGTTCTCCTACCTCCGCAGCCTTACCACCGCCTAAAGCCCGAGGCTGCTCGCCGCGCTTGGTCGGCAGCGTAAACGCCATAATTACCAGCCACGAGGTTGGCTTCGGAAAGGAAGGGGGGCCGCACCTGCGCACAGGCCTTCTCAAGAGTCTCGCCGCAGCTCTCGCGATATTAAGAAAAGGCTGATGGGAAATGTCGTTCGAACACCCGCTCCCGGGGGCGGGGCCGCATCCTCCGCGCAACCTTGGAGACGGGGGTAAGATGTTCCGCCACCAGGGACGGTAGAGAGCCCGGTGGGCGGTCTGTGAAGACTCATAGCAATTAGAAAACGGAGGATGGTCGCGTCGGTCACAGTCGTTTGTCCACTTGAGGCAGTGACTGTCCTTGGCCGAGACTGGGGGTCGGGCGCAGAAAGTTGGAGGGGCCTCATGAGGGGAACGACTGAGGAAACTGAGGCCCGGCCGGATTCGTTCTTAGATGCGTTGTGGAGTTTACCGTGGACGGGGAGGGGTTTGTCCGGCCGTTTGTCCGGCGTGGTAGGTTGCGTAAGTGAAGGGGAGGGAGATTCCCGGGGAATTGTTGGACGTCCCGCTCACTGCTTTAAAAGTTGGGGCGAGAGCAGTGAGGCCCGGGCGCGGGCGGCAGAGGGCGCCCGAGGCGGCGGGCCCGGGCCTGCCCCGAATTACCCTGAACCGGGGTGCGGGCCCCGCTGCACAAGTCTCCGAGGAGTGGCCTTAATTCTGATAAGAAAAGAAGTGAAAGGAGAATAGCAGAGAATAATGTAACACTCAGTGCTGCTTCTGCTATTTTTCATGCAACCTCACTGGCTTCGTTTTTGAAGTAACATTTAGGCCAAACAACTAACGTCAGGGCCAGAACTTACACCTATTTGGAAATTATTTTAAATTTGCAAGGCCACAAAGCCTTTTATGCATTACCTTCTGCCCATTCTCATCAACCCTTTAGCAATGATCTCAGCGGCATTCGTATATGGTTAATATGTTGCAGGTGCTTATTTTCAAGTTACCACATTTATGTTTGCCTCCCTTGATTTGATTGTATGCTTCTTAAGGCAGGAGAAGTCTCTCAATTATGTTTTTACTTTTTCATTTCCTCACTGTGTCTAATTGGTATTCCACTGTCTCTGCCCATGGTGACTATTCAGTAAGAAATCATTGACTTGCTTAGCTCTAGCTTCTATCTTGTGAAACTGGCCCTTAAGTTTCTCTATATTGCGCTTGAAGACAAATTGTTTTGTATAAGACTGAGAGGAAGAATGGTTTCTCTCCCTGCAAATTTACGTTCCTTTCATTGCAGACGTACAGCAGGACCTCTTAAGGGTGGAATTTGCCCAAAGCTACTCGTGTGTAGGCAAGTGACCTGTTGCAGACAAAACAAGTGCTTCATAGCACTTCCTGTGTGCCCTCCACTCGAGTACTTCACAGACAGTACCTCATTTAAACTGGGCTACTGCACTGTGAAATGCATATCAGGACCCTCATTTTTCAGAATAGGAAATGGAAGCGCTAGTTAGGTAATTTGCCGAAATTCACACAGCTAATAACTGGGGGAGTCAGGTTTGAACCAAGCCTGTAGAGTCCATGCTTTTACCACTAAGTTGTGATGCACCCTATGATATGTAAATTGATCTTATGTATAAGGGCCTTGGATTGGTGGGGGAGGAGAGGAAAGGGGATTTTTGTGTGTTTGAAGGGGTGGTTAGGGATGAGATTAAGGGGGCACCCTTTCCACGGTTTTGAGCCAGGTCTATGGCAGGAAGAGTGAAGCTGAGAGGCTGCAGGAGGTGATGAGTGAAAGCCTGTGTGGCTCTGGGCTGTAGCAGGGCTGTCTTGGGATGCAGACTAGTTGCCACTCAGTGTGGAGTGAGGGCCATTCTTCACAGCTTGAGAAGGGCTGCTGTGCCATAGGCCACAGTGTAGTTTTCATGCCTGACAGGGCACCTGGTGCAGCAACAGGCTCACAGCGGATGGAGCTGTCACTGGTTGCTGGGAGGTGGCCAAGAGGCTGGAGCAAAATGTAATTAGAGGTCTTGTGCCTGAGCACATGTCAGGTACACTGTTTAGGCAATCCAGAAATTACTAGCAAAGATTTCAGAGAGTGCATCCGAGTTCCTGAAGGAGCAGGTAAGGGTTCAGAGCTGTTGATACTGAAGTATTAATATTGTGTTTTCATTTGCACTCATTGCTGGTGAAGTCTATAACTTTCGCGTTTTACACGGGATCGAATTATATGACCATTATTCAAAGCTAGTGTAGGTCTATGTTTATTCGCAGGGAAGGAGTCACATGGTCTAGTGGTAAGTGACAGAAGTAGATCACAAGCTGAACAGGGCTGGAACTCCAGCGCTGTTCAGGGACTTTGGCTCTGAGTGCCAAGGGGACAGCTAGTCAGCTGGCCTGCTGTGTTCAAGTGGTCAGCTCACTGAGTTCCATTCACTAATATGATTTAAGGTGTGACATCTGAAACCCACATTAATAGAAAGCAGAGTCTTTGGAATACTGAGGTTAATTTTGTCCCCTGGAAAGGAATCTTTAATTTTAGTAATAAGAACTTGAAGCAGAGTGGGTATATTGCTGGAGGTTGACTGCTTACATCAGGAACAGTTGTAACAGCAGCTTCACCGATGTTCGTCTGTATGCAAGCACTATTGGTGGCCAGCCCCACAGCTGTTTTTCCTGCATCTTTCAAAGAGAACGGAATGCTACTGGGCAGCTGTGTGCTTTAGAGGAGGCAAGCCCCTCCTCAGCCCTAAGGGGCAAATCTTGACTAGTTTGCTGAAGACCCATATGATAAATCTATTCCTTTTGCCAAGAGTTGTTTCTGAAAAGAGTATGTGATGCAATTCCGCCAAGTTTGGGATAGTTCTCTTGTTTTTTAAAATAACAGCATCTCTTCTGGCTTTGGGACATTGTGAAGTTGTGATGCTTGGGACTGTGGCAGCCATCTTGCACCCATGAGGCTTGTTTCAAAGCAAGAGCCTGAGGTCTGTGATCTCATGGTGGAAAGAGAGAACACGAGTCCTTGCTGATGCTCTTGAACTGCTGAATAAGCAGTTCTGAAGCCCCCTTCCTTCAAACCTTTCGATTTGATTCAGAGACACACATTTTTACATTTTAATATTTCTCAATGTAGGCAGTATCTTACAAGCAATGACATCTTAGTTACAATGAAATACAGAATGTGAGATTTGAAAAAGGAATCTCCTCACTCTTTAAGCCATCTTAAAGTGGGTGTTCAGTTAGAGTAAAAATCATCCTAAATGATATGACTGACATTGTTTACATCTTTGTTTTTTAAATAATAATTCTCTGGAAGAATGGGTCATGGCAAAATAAAGAAAGTGAACTGACATGTGCAACTTACCTTTCGAAACAGTAACAGCTAATATATATTAAATGTCTGTTCTGGGCCAGGCACTACTCTAAGCATCTCCGTTTTTAAACCACTTGATTGAGGTCTGGTAGACGTAGAAAAAGCTGTACTTATTTACTGTGTACAACTTGATGAATCTAAGCACCTTTTCATGTACTAGCTCATTTGATTCTCACAACAGCCCTGTTATCATCCCCCAGTTTTGCAGCTGAGGAAGCCATAGTGTGGAAAGGTGAAAGTAATTAGTAAGTGGCAGCATTGGGATATGAACTCAGACAATCTCAAAACCTATTATCTTAATCACTGTGCTGGTCTCCTGAAAAAATACACCACAGTGGAACATGTTTTGCTTAACTCCAGGAATATTAATTTATCCAGCTAGAAAACCCATCATAAAATGTAGAGGATTTTTTTTCCTCCAATTTCGCAGGACCATGAGAGAATGCAATAAATACCGTTCAGCAAAAACCAGGGATCACTGAACATAATTTTAACTTTCTGGAGAAATATAACAATGTGTACCCTACTTATTGAAAATAGATGGCTTGGCATAGCAGTGGATTTTTTCCTGTGTTTACCAGTGGCACACATTTCACTTGTCTGTTCTGCAGACCTGTTGTCTCTCACAGAATTATTAGTTAATGGATCATTTAAAAATTAGTGAATTTGAATAATATGTAAATTCGGTTGACTCCTCTGCTATTTTCTGGACATGTCTTCCCATTCCCAGAAACGCTGTTCTCACAACTATTGCATGGTCTTTGCTCAGGTTCTTTGTTCTCTTTGCCTTGAAATTTCTTTTCCCTCATCCTCTTCTCTGCTTAGCAAATTCTAACTCATACTTCAGTGACTCCTCTATGAAATCTTACCCAAAACACTGAGATAGTCCTCGAGCTCTTTCCTCAGTGTTCCTGTGGCAGGCTGGCTTGGTACATGCTCTGCAACCAGGCAGACCTGGAGTCAAGTCCCAGCGCTGCCGATTCTAGCTGAGTAGCCTTGGGCAAATGACTTCACCTCTCTCTAAGCTTCATTTTCTTATCTGTAAAATGGGGATGATCACTGAGCTTCTTAGAATCTCAAGACTGTGCAGGCAAAGTACCTAGCACAGACCTGGCACAAGAGAGGCACTCGATAAACTGGACTCTTGTTATTTGAACATACTTCATATAATACTCACTAGTTATAATTATTTGTTTTCATGTCTGGCTTTTCCACTAGACCATGAGCAAGACAAGGATCAGATTTTCATTCTTGTTTTTTTTAACTTTTTAAGTCATCTTTATTTTGAGGTATAATTTACATACAATAAAATTCATCCATTTAAAATATACAGTTCAAAAGTCTGAGAATGGTATGCACATGTAACCACAGCACCAGTCATGATTCAGTGCTTTCATCACCCCAAGAGTACCTCCATGCCCTTTCACAGTCTGTCTTCCTATCTACCCCTGGCTCCACGTGACTGCCGATCTGCTTTGTCACCATAGATTAGTTTTGACTGTTCTAGAAGTTCATATAAATGATTCATGCAGTAGGTACTCTTTCATTTCTGGCTTTTCTCCATTACCCAGAGTTATGGCTTACATCAGTAGTTCATTCCCTTTGCATGGCTGAATATTATTCCATTGTTATGAATATACCACAACTTGTCCACTCAACATATTGATGGACATTTTGGTTGTTTCCAATTGGAGCTATTATTAATAAAGCTGCTGTGAACATTCTCATACAATTCTTTTTGTGGACATATGTTTCCTAACATGTAACTTCCTAAGAAACTGCCAAAGTGGTTTCCCAAGCAGTTGTGACACTATATGCCCCTGGCAGCACGTCACAGGCTTACAATGGCTCTACACCCTCGCCAATACCTGTTAACGTCAGTCTTTAATTTTAACCATTCTGATGGGTGTGTAGTAGTATCTCACTGGGGTTTGGTTTGCATTTCCCTGATTTTGAGCACCTTTCTATGCATTATCAGCCTCTTGTATACTTTTTTGTGATATGTCCATTAAAACCCTTTTTTAAATTGGGCTGTCTTACTGAATTGTAGAAGCTCTTTATATATTCTGGATACAGGAACTTTCTGAGATAGCTGTTTGGCAAATATTTTCTCCCAGTCTTCCAAGAATGATGATAAAATCAAATTTATCCATTTTTCTATTATGGTTAGCATTTTTTGTATTCTGTTACAAGGACTTTTCTTTCTCTGATGAATCACCTTTGTTGTGTCTGTTTCTGGGTTCCATTGATCTGGGTGTAAATCCTTGGGAACACCACTGGACCACTGTAGTCTGCTGGGTTTCCCCACAGACACCGAGGCAGTCATGGGGTCACTGTCCTGTGTGCTCCCTCTTGTCAAGTGTGTGTTTCTTATATTTTGCCCAGTTTTCTGGTTGGCTGTGGCAGAAGGTCTTAATTCATTTCTGTATCCGTAGTACCTGGCACACAAGCACTCCATGAAAGTTTGTTGAGTGGGTGAGTCTTTGTAAGCACCTCCAGACACAGTCCATTACAGTCTCTTTTGATTGGGACAATCTGTGGGGCCACAGAGGTCATCTTGTCCATCCCCTTCATCTTACTAGATCTTTTCCTGAGGGTAGTCGTTAGAAATGTATGTCCTCAGCAACAGCCCACCTGGGTTCAACACATGCCTATTAAATGAGGAAACAAAGGCCCAGAGAAGAAACAGTCACATGACCAGGCAGTGGCTGAGCTGGCAGAACTGGGCTCCCTAGGCTCGCTGGTCTGTTGTAGTAACTGGCCGGGCAGGCACTCTCCCTTTCATCACCTTGTCACTCCCAACACCCACCACAGGATTTATACACTGTAGGCTCCCAATTCATGCTTGTTAAGTAAGTGATCGAGGAGTAAATTAATTTATTTTAAAGCTTCGGCTGGCTTCTGCATCTGGCATTAAGCGTGTGTGTGTGTGTGCATTTAGAGAGTGACAGGACTGCCCATTCCTATACAAGCTCATAGGTCATAGTCTTGTCAGTAAGTCTTTTGTTGTTTTGATTTTCTCAGCCACCCTCTAGACTTAATCCCTGCTAGGGGCATGTGCATCCCACAGAGAGGGTCTGTAGTTCTTAGATGAAAGGATTTAAGTAAACCCTTCCTGTTTCCAGCTCAAGTAATGGCTCCCCCCTGAAGCCATCTCCTGGGTCCCCATACCCTACACCCTACCTTCCCCCTGCAAAAAACAAGCAACAAAGCCTTCCTCCTCTCCAGCTGGGCTGCGGCTGCCATCCTCTCCTGTCATCCAGCAGGGTAGCAGTGGCTGTGAGCAGTGACCTCACACTGCCTGTCATCCCTGCCAGTGACCACTGCTTCATCCCCAGAGAGGATGGGAGATCCTAGAAAGGTAGCTCTCCTCTCTCCCCTCAACTGGCAGGCAAGGACTAGCCTTTCAAGGCTCAGAGTCTGATCTGCACTTGAATGATGAGTTTCTGTCTGAAGAGAGAGCGGTGGGAATAACTGGCAAATCCTGGCCAGCCTGCCCGCAAAGGCATCCCAGGGTGGCGCCACAGCTCTTGTTACCTGTGCCTTGGTAGGCCCATCACACCCAGGATTTCCTCACAGCCCCCGACTCCAGACTCACGCCTTCTGTGCCACACCATGTTCATAAGCTGTGGTGTCACATTGCCCAGGTGCCAGTCCTGGCTTCACTACCAGCTGTGAGTGACCTTGAGCAAGTTGTGTAAACTTCACTTTCCTAATTGGGTAAATGAGGGTAGCAACAGTTCCTGCCTCATAAATGAGACAATGTTTACAAATAGAGTACTTGGCACAGTGCCTAGTGTATAGTGAGTGTTTGAGACATGTTAGCCATTCTTAATAATATTAAGTATCATCATATTAACGTAAACCTCAAATGTAAGCCACTTGGCCATTCTTTCATCTTTCTTTCTTCTTTTGAAGCTCACAGGTAAGTATTACTTTCCTTTAGCTAAAGATCTTGGACTTCTTCCTAAGAGTGAGGCCCTGCGAGGGGGCCCTGGGAGCCTGTGGGACCAATGGGGTACCCTGCTCTTGTGCCATTGCACCTGCCTCAGATTCGGCAAATGCCCACCTAGTCGTGGACCAGATCATCTGCTGTATGCCCCCGCCCAGGACCATCATGACCACATGCACACAACCCCATGTTCGGGATGGGCAGGTACTCCCATCTGCACCCTAGGGTGACACAAGACAGCAGAGGCTGCTATGGTGGCCTCCCTTGTTACCCAACTGCACCCCCACCACCTCATTAGCTGTCTGGTCATGTTTCAGTCTCCAGGACAGACTGGCAGCAACACTGAGTCTGAGCCACAGAAGTAGCAGACAATAGCACCTTCCTGCTCCCGGCTGCTCCCTCGGCCGCCCTGCAGCTCAGAGCAGCCTTCTCCCTGTCACTCAGGCTCCAACCGTCAGCGAGATTGGCATTCAGACAGGACGAAAGAGCATCAGGACGACCACCTCCCGTCTTCTCTAGGAGCTGAGATTCATTTGGGGAAGCAGCCAGTTGGGGAAAGGTGTCCAGGCCAGGACTCCCACTGGAGGTTGGGACAGGGTTCTAGGCACACACAGATAACAAATATGCTCTCTCATTCGGTCTTACTAGGCATCCCCCACCCAGCAGTTCCCCCACCCCACCCCACCCCACCCCACCCCCATCCTCTAACTTGTGTCAGAATTGCCTGTCACCCAGCTGTTCTGTGTGTGGAAAGATAGGGCAGAAGGGGCCTTGGGGTAAGAAGGTAAAGGACTCTAGCTGTTCTGAATCTGCTAATTGCTCTGGAATTACTTATTGTTCAGTAATTGACAGATCGCTAACACAATCACACAGCTCACATATGTTGAACACTTACGAAGCATGCTAAGCACTTTACACACATTATCCAATATAATCCTTATAGTAACTCTGTGAGATAGGTTGCTGTTATTTCCACCTTACAGATGAGAAACCAAAACAGAGATGTTCAGTCAGGTACCCAAGGCCACAGAGGTAGGAAGTCATGGCGGAGTCAAGGTTCAGATCCGGAACTCAAGACTCTGGACTTCTTGCTCTTAGTTATTTCCTGGGCAGCATGCTGGGCCCTGAGTGACACGGCTCTCTGCCTGAGCTCTGTCTCTAGTTGCTCTGAATCTCCTCCCTCCTATTATGGTCAGTCCACCAACTCCTGAACTTTCCTACTCCCCTTTCCAAGCAGCAGCTCTTTCCAAGGAAATGGGAGGGGAGAAGGACTCAGCTTCGGGGGTCACTGGGTCCACCCCCACCATGGGCTTCACACCAACCCCTGTCCTGCATCTGTGATGAGAGAGAGTGGGCTGAGGAAGGGGGGGCCTCAGTCTCAGGCAGCTTCTGTGGAGAAGTGCTAGGCTGAGGGCGGCAACTTTCTGCAGCAGTAGCTGCAAATGTGCAGATTGTGCAGAGCCCAGGGGTGGGAGAGCCCTGGGAATAAGAGGCGAGCGTGGGCTGGGTGTGGGGGGAAGGTGTAAACACAATCTGCTCCCACCAAAGCCAGCCTGCTCCCTGGGGGAGAGAGCCTCTCCCTCCCATCCCACATGGCACCCCAGCTGCCAGGGACCGGGCACCCTCAAAGCCAGGCAGACACCTTTCCTGTCAGCAGTAACCCTCCCTCCTGCTTTCCCTCCCTTCATCCAGGACGAAGAGCAGCCTCTTTAGCATGTTCCTAGAGCAGTGCCGCAAAGGACTGTCACTTGGTGAATGTGTGTCTGGGCTGTGAGCCAGCCCCAGTGTAGCTAGGTGACCTTGGCCCAACAATTCCTCCAGACCAGTGGAAGGAGACAGGCAACTCAGAAGTAGCAGAGAACAGAGGCAGGGATGAAGTGACGGGGACATGACAAACAGATTAGAGAATGAATGCAAAGATGGGATCAGGAAAGAGACTGAGTGCCCTCTGGCCTTCAGCCTGACAGTCCTGTCACCAGGAAGGCTGATGCCTCCAGAAGAAAGACAGGCTGACAGGAGCTGAGACAGGTGGTCACGAACTCAGGGCCCATGTCAGGCGGGCAGTGGGGCTCTGACTTGGTTCTGGCACAGAGCTCCTTCCCCTGGTGCCACCCTTCCCCTGCCTGCACTCTGCCCTACTTTTTGGAGGCTCCCACAGAACTGCCAGGCTCCCCGCAGTACCAGCAGCCCTCCCCCGTGGCTTCAGAGTGGGTGCCCTCTGCCTGCGCATCTCACCCTTTCCTTCCTTCCCTTCAGCTGCGAAGTGGTGGCTGAGGAACTGCTGTCTGGAGAACTCATCTGCTTCCTGAAAGGCAGGGGCAGGGACTGTGGTGGGCAATGGGGGCTGGGTGGGGAGGGGCGATTCACGTGCGTGTGGGGGTGGGGGCTTCGGAAGATGAATGGCTTGGAGACAGTGGGGAGTAGCTGCCTACAGGGTCTGCGCCTGGATCTCGGGGAGCAGAAGCGGAAATCTGCTTTTATCTCTGCTCTGGATCAGGCAGGACTGTGAAGAGAGAGAAATGTCAGAGCAGCTGGGGGCAAAGGAGGCCACCACGGTAACTGAGCAGTCAGCAGATTGGCAAAAACAAGTGTCATGCTTTTTCCTTTCCCACGTGCTACTGCCCATTTGGAGCACACACACACATGCACACACACAAAACACATTCGGAGGGCAGGCTGTGGGCTGCTTCCATCCAGCTGCAGGGAGATATGTCACAGATCCAAATGGCATTTCTTATTGATAATTGCAGCAGAGCAGCCAGTGACAGGGTGAGCTCTGGGGACCAAGGAGAGGAAAATGCCATAGGAAGTGAGTGCCACCATGGCAAATTGACACCACACAGCCCTGAACCACAGCTGGGATTTAACCACAGCTACTGAGCTGCCAGAGACAGGGGACCAGGCCCGTGAAAGGTCCTCTCACCAAACAGCTGCAGACTTCCAGGTAGTTTCAGGCAGGCTTGTGTCATGGTGGTTAAGAGCATGGACTCTACAGCCTCCATATAAGCCTGGGGTCCCCCATTTAATAGCCAGGTGACATTGGGCACTTAACTTCTCTCTTTGTGTCCTCATTTCTAAAATGTGGATAATAACCAGTCTCTGTGGGTTATCATGGGGATTAGATTAGAGAATAAATGGGAAGCCCTTCCTTAGTAGACAAGAGCTGTTAGCTGTCCTACGTTCTGGGGTCTTCTCACTCCCTACTTGTTCCTGCCCTTAGACTGGGCTGCTGGGGCTGCCCCAGAGTTAACTGGGTAGACCCCACTGAGTCCCTGTCTCTGGGCCTATCTCCGAGCAGCCTCAGGGACTCAGAGGGAGCCCAGCCTATCCCAGAGCAATGAACATCTTTACCCTTCTGCCTGTTCCGCCAGCCGGGCCTTGTCTCAGGAGCCCCAGGCCGGGCCTGGGGGGATGTGAGGACTGGAAGGTCCAGGGGCTGAAAGGGAGGAGCCTACCTTCTCCCATCTCTGCTTTTTCCCATCCTCCCTCTTGCTGCCGGTGCTCCCACCACAGCCTCTTTCTGGGGTGCTGGGCAACCAAGGACAGGAGCTGAAAAAAGCCAAAACAGATCACGTGTGCCAAGGTGGGGGCTTGTGTTGTGGAGTGCACATTCCAGAACACCGTTTCTCCCTTAGAAGTCCTTTGCCACTACCCTCAGGCCCCCAGCATGACCACCCTCTCATCCCCAAGCCTAGAAAATGATCTCTTAAAACTAATCTTGCCCTGTGGCCTGGAACATAACAGGTTCAAAGTAGGAGCTCTTGGAAGGTGTCCACCCTCCTACTCTTGACCTCCATCCATGACCATAGAGCTGAAGATGACTTGCTTCGCTCCCTCCTGGCCAGGCCTCCCATATTCTTCCTTGAACACCAGCCCAGCCCTCTGTCCTCCAGGCGTACTGTAGGCCCTACCTGCCTGAGCCAGTTGATCCCAGTCCCCCGGGCTGAACTCCACATGGAGAGGTGAGGGCTTACTTCAGAGGCTCTTTCTCCCTACACAGAGAAAAGCACAGAGTCAGAGGACTGGAGAGGATGACTTTCCCACATTTCTGGCCTTCCTCTTCCTCCTGCCCCATGCCTAGTGATTCACCCCACTATTGAGGGGTAGCACCTAAGAAATCAGTTGGAATTTATGAATGTGGAATTGGAGAGCAGAAATTTTACCACTGCTGCCCCTCTCGGCCAGCCGTCCATGGAAGCCATCATCTGCAAGAAGATGTTAGATGTTAGGCCAGTTTTTCCAGTTGACTGGGTTCCAAGGAGTTACTAGGCAGCAGCTTCCTACTGGCTGAGCTGCGCCAGTCCAGGCCTCGCCAGATGGCCCCAGATGTGGCTTTCCCCTCCTGACAGGAAGTCCAGGCCTGTTCCATGTAGAGGAGACAGACTGCCTGGAGTCAGGGATTTGTCAGCCTCACATCAGCCACAAATTGGATGGATGACCTTGAGCAAGCAGGTTACATCTCTGGGTCCATCACTTTACCCTGCCGTTAACAATAGCCTGAAACACTTGTTCTGCCAACCGTTTGGGGCTGTTGACTTCCAAGTTAATATGTGAGAAACCTCTGGGAAAGTGCAAAGGCTGATCAAGTGTCAGATGACAAGAGAACAGCCAGCATTTACTGAGCAGATGCTCTGTGCCTGGTACTTTACGAGACTCTCAATTTAAACTCACAGACACACCACAGCCATGCTGTCGTTAATCTCAGTTTACATAGAAATAAAAAGATTACATAATTTTCCCAAAGTCTCAGATAGAGGAGAGCCAGGATTAAAACTCTGGCTGCCCAACTCCAGACCCAAATTTATTTAGGGCCTCCTACATGTGAGGCACAGTCATGGCCATTTTACACATGTCTGCCCATTTCACCAGAAGTAGTGATTATGCACAACTGTGACCATCTCAGCCAGCCTAGATGTCGAGGAAGGCTTTCACAGAAATGCTTGTTTCCTGCTCGTGCCCAGGGCTCCCCAGTGGGCCTTCTGGCATTCAGAACCCCAGGGAATCCCGGACTGAGAAACTAGGGGCCTAGACAGAGAGAAAGACTCCAGTTCTGAGCTTGCCAGGCTCCACATCGCTAAGGGGCCCACTGCATGCATGAATGCCTGCTGATCTCAGCTACCTGAGCCCTGTGGGGAGAAACCCTCCTTCGGGGGCCCTGGAGCCCAGGGGCGTCAAGCTCTTTGCCTCACTAGGAGTGAGAGAAGCAGCAACAGTACTGAGGGGCTAGGAGATGCTTCTGTGGGAGAGACTGTCACTCTGCAGATAGGTCTCCTACGCTAGGCGGGTCCTAGGCACAAAAGAACATGCCAGTGTGTTCTCAGTAAGTATTTGTTGATTTTCCAGTGTTGTGGTGAGGATAGGAGCCCTTCTCATCAAAGGACACGGTTCACCCAGGGAAGGAAAAGTCCAAAGTTCCCCAAAGTTCACCCCTTGTAAAAAGCCACATGGCACCAGCCTAGGAAGAGTTAACTTTGTGGCCACCGGAGACAGCGTCCTGCCTCGGGGGCTGCCCAGCCAATGGCACTCAGTGCTGATGATGTCATGCTCCTTCTGAGCCTTCTATTGGGGACTGGACAGCGAATCCTGCGGAAGGTTCAGGCAGTGGAGGCGCTCAGGCTGGGTGGGGACAGCGGGAGAGGGAGGGGGAAGGGAAGGCAAGCAAAGCCACGCAGAGCTGCTTCTGCCTCATCCCTCTCTCCACTCCCCCTTCACCTTCCAAAAGAAGGGACCCTGGGGACCACCCCTGCACTGGACGAGCAAGGCAAAGTAGCTCTGGTGCAGAGGAGAGGCTGGGGACTCCTGCTCCCAGCTGGAGAAAACACATTCAGCCTGCCCGGCAGGCGTACAAGTGCCAGGGTGGCTGGGGCAGGGGCGTGCACACAGTCCTGTACAGCCCCAGCAGGGACGGAACAGGAGCAGCTTCCTTGACAGCACCCTCACTCCTCCCCCCCAGACTCTCTTCGGCCTTACCTGCCTGAGGACTGGAGGTCTGTTTCCAAGCTGCTGCCCATAACTGCTCCATCTACTCCACTGGGCTCCCTGTGGGAGGAAAGAAGAGACAAGAAGGGCTGTGGGCAGCACCCAGACCCCGACCCCTCTCCTGCTTCTCTGCAAGGCCTAGCCACGTTGGACTGGGGCTGGAGGCAGCAACCAGTGTCTCTGAGCAAATTCCCCCTACTGTCAGCGGAACCTCTCCGGGATTCTTTGGAGGTCCAGGCAGCCCCCACCCACCTTCAGCTTGGCTGGAGCCTGGCCCAGTAGCTTCTCCCCACCCCATGGCCCAAGGGTTTCTCACGGTTGGACCCTGTTGGCAAATCGGCGGCGCCAGAGCATGGCCAACGTGCTGAGCAGCAAGAGGGTGGTGCACATGGCACAGCTGCCCCATCCCCTCCCAGACTGAGTCTGCAGAAGCAGGCCAGAACGGCCCCCGCCAGCTCTCACAAGCCGTGCTGTCTGTCCTGAGCTTCCTGCTGGCAATGGATTAGGAGGCTCAAGCTGATTAGTGGGGTCAGCAGCCCCGACCTTGTGAAGACTGATTAACCTCACTGTGCCCAGGTTGTCCCCCTGAGAGGCAGGGTAAATTGGCTTCAATCTGTTCTGGATGTAGATATGACTAAGACCTGGGCCTGACCCTCAAGGGGCTTATAGTCTAGACAAGCATGCTGGCAAGTTAGACAAATGACCACAGCACAGTGACTTAGGCCATTAAAAGTGCCTACAAAGCCCTCTAGTTGCTGCGAGCATCAGAGGAAGCTTCAAAGAGGAGCTGGATTTGGGAGCACTCAAGGAAGGATGGGCCTTAGACAGAAGACAGCCAGCAATGCTGATGTGACAGTGCCGGGCATGTTCCAGCAACTGGAAGTTGAGTGGTGTTGGAGCAATGATGTCACAGGGGAGGAGAGGGGAAGAACTGCAGAGGATGAAGCCAGAAAGATGAGGGAGGCCAGAGAGTAAAGGGCTGGCTAAGTGGTTCAACTCTACCCTCCGGACATTCCTCTCCAAGCATTTCTGATTATATACCCTCTTTGACAAAATGCACAACTTAAGTGTGCACTTTCAAAATAGATGTGTATCCACATGGAAATGGTATAATATACTACTGAGCAGATTCAATCGTGCCCTGTGGACATACATAAACTTGTAAAGCATGAGATAAAAATAAATGGAACTAAGGTTTCTCCTGCTTTCTTTCTACGTCTCAGTGGAGTCTCTTGGGCAGCCATTTGGAAGGCCACTGACCAGCTTTGGGAAACTATCAGAGGAGTATAGGCGGGTAGCCCAGCGTGGAGTGCTCGCTCTCGCAACGGGCACTGTGTGGAGCAGGCATGGGTCTGAGAGTGAGATAAAAAACTGAGCCCACTCACTCGCCTCTGTCCCTCTCCAAGACCCCCAAGAGAAGGCATTCGATTTCCCTTCCCTCAAGTGACATGGAGGCTATGTCAAGAGGTCCCCTGCCCCAATTCCAGCTAAGCTCACTGAACCCTGGGCTCCAGAGAGGGCTGCCTGGGCTCTCTACTTTGCAATACGATTTTTTAAATAAGCACATAAACCAAAGCTGAAGAGGTGAGCCAAACTACTTGAGCAGTGGGACACAAAGTCTTGGGAAAAGTACGGTCACCAAGGAGCCTTAGAACTGGGCACACCCCACATGTGGTATCACACATTTCAGATGCTGCAGCCCCCTCTGGCATCAGGCTTGGACTGGGAATCAGAGGGGGAACCTGGCCATCCCAGGACTGAGCAGCTGCTTGCGGGTAGGGACCCTGTGGCTCTTACAGACACAATCCCTGCCTGGGGTCCAGTCGTGCACACATCTCCCCGAGCAGAGCCACCAGGATAAGAATTTGTCTCCTCCATACTCAGACCCCTCCCTAATCGCGACCTTGGTGGCTGAGATGTCTCCCCAGGCCTTCTCTGACCCACCCCCTCAACCCCCCGCCACAAGGTCTGCTTTGCCAGGTCGGCTGCCTCTCCTTTTGACTTTTTTCCACCAGGAACGGAATTCAGGGCAGCGCCTGTTTTTTGCCTGCCTCTGTCATTAATAAGCCACCCAGGGACTTCTTTCCGACTCCATGTGCGTGCACCGAGGGGGAGGACGTGCTGGCCGGAAGGAAGGGGTCGCAGGCCTCTGGCGCTCGAGTTGGACAGCCGGCTCCCATCCGCGCAGCGGTGGATTCCAGTAAGGTGCTGGAGTAGGGAGACGGCCCGAGTCCTAAACCCTACAGAGCCTGGGGTCCGGAGCTGCGAACGGCGCCGCGACCCCCAGCGGCTGGCTCAGTAGAGACCGGGAACGAGCGGGAGCTCAACTAAGACGGCGCCGCCGCCAGAGGGGCTCGCGTCCGCCCCCTCGGGCGCACGGGCGGGCGGCCACGCCGCAAATGCCTGGGAGTGTTTGACTTTGGGTCAATTTCCGACCTCAGGAAGGATGCACACACGCACGCGCCCCGACACCGCCCGCAGCTGAGCCGGGACCTGGGACCCCCAGACCCGCACCCGCCGAGGCACACTCCTGTGTGGCCCGCGCCACCCCGCGCTGCGTAACCGCCCTCCTCTCGCGACCCCCCTGCACTCCCGATGCACCTACGCCCCAGCCCCGCCCGGCGCTCAAAGTCCGCGGTGGCCTCTGCGGGTGGGCAGGCGGGCGCCAGCCGCGTCGCCCCCACCCCGCCCAGCCTTCACCTTGCCGGAACCGGCTCATGGACACGGGGTTAGGGGTTTGGATCAGATTTATTTTTTAACATTTTTCCTGCAGACCACATCCCCGCCCCCGGCTCGCGGTCCCCCGCCCCCCGCACATATACCCTGCACACACACACACACACGCGCGCACACACACACACCCGGCGCGCACAGACAGACACGCTCCCTCCCTCCGGCGCGCTCTACCCCTCGCTCGCCCTCCCGCCAGCCGCGCACGCAGCCGGCCCGGGCTCCCCGCGCCCAGGGCCCCGCGCCCCGCTGCCGCTGAACGAAGCCGGGCTGGGCTTGGAGCTGCTCATGGAGAAAGTGCCAGGCGAGATGGAGATCGAGCGCAGGGAGCGGAGCGAGGAGCTGTCCGAGGCAGAGAGGAAGGCGGTGCAGGCTACGTGGGCCCGGCTGTATGCCAACTGCGAGGACGTGGGGGTGGCCATCCTGGTGAGGTAGGTGTCGCCCCGGCCTGGCTAGGCCCGGGGGCAGGGAGGGCGGCAGTGGCTCCGGGCAGGGGCGGCTTGGGCCCCGGGTCCAAGCTCCAGCGCCACCTCCCCAGCAGCTATTGCGCTGGGCTAGCCAGGGTGCAGGCAGCATGGGATGCCCTGGAGGTGAAGCCCTGGCTCTGGGCGCAGGGTTCACCAGGAACTAGAAGCCAGCTGAAGAGGGCACCTCTGACCCCCTTCTCTTTCCTGGCCTTAGAACAACTGGCTCAGCCAGCCATGCTGTCTCACTGGGGACCCTAGCCACCCAACCGTACCATTAACGACACACATTTTACCAGCCCTTTATATGGGGGCATTGGGGGCTCCCCGTTTTAGAGTCGGAAAAACTGAAGCTCAGCCAAGAAGACCCCTCTCTCCATCTCGGCCTCTTTCTATATTCAAAGCACCTTGGAAGAACAGAGCAAAGGACAAGAGATTATAGATCAGAAACAGTAGACCCCCGAGGTCCAGCTCTCCCAGCTGGCCTCTTCCTGCCCCGAGGGGACGGGCCAGCAGCAGGGCACTCTCCGGGGAGGCACAGGTGAGTGGAGAATCAGACAGTCCTCTAGCTGCCAGCCCTCTGAGATTGCTGGAGGGAGGGGAGAAGCTTCAGAAGACAGGGCCCCACCCTGAAACCTCCACCTGAAGAGGAAGGGCCATAGTCTTGAGCTCACGGGTCTTTCAGGCACCACGCGCCCATGAGGAACACTCACAGAGCGACGCTGTTACACCTACACACCGGGGTGCACACCATTCCTGTGTGGTTAATGTCCCCGACCCCCGCAAGCTAGAAACTAAAGAGCGATGCCCTCTTCCCACACATTCTGGTCCTTAGGGGTGCGGGCAGAGAGGCCCCAGACCCACACTCACCCTCAACCCCCCGTTACTGGCAGAGTGCAGTTGTCAAATCTAGGACAGAGCAGGGCAGTCTACTTACTTGGAGAATGGCTGAAGCCTCACTCATTGAAAGGGTAGTTGAGATGCGTGCCTGTGCCTGTCTCCAGACCTGGCCCTGGCCCCGGCCCCGGCTCCTCTCTCCCGCACACTCCCTCCCTTTGGCCTCCCCCAAGCCTGGGACCCACCCACCTCTATACTGATATGATCTAATTCCAATTCAGAAACAAATTTTGGAGGAAGAAGAGCAAGCAGCACTCCCGAGTTTGAGGATTCCTGAGGAAGGGGCAGCTATCTCGGCAGCTCCCAGGCCCAGAGACACGACTGGGGTGGTGGGAAGCGAAGAGGGGCTTTCAGATCCCAAAGCTATCAGACATTCGGAGATGCAGACCCGCCCATGCGAACACCCACACAAACACGTGGTGGGTAGAGGCGTCACAGATGGACTGCACCCTGGAGGGTGGCTCTCAGCTGTGGATGTCAGCACCCATGGGCCAACCAGGTCTCAGGGTGCACCCAGATGCACACGGGTCACTGAGAGGAAACGAGGCCGAGTCCACCAGACCGAACCCCCTGCACTCACCAGTGAGGATGTGTAGGGGATGTGTCCAGTATCCAGCTCCTGGGGCACCATCCAGCCTCCCCAGGAATGGGGGCTGCAGTGGAAGGAACTGAATGCTGAGCTGCTCTTGAGCCCTAGTCAAGGCTTTCTCTCTCTCTGCACCCCTCTCCTTCCCCTCTCTGACTCCTAGCCAGGCTGGGGCTGGGCTGGGGGAGGCGTTTGCCAGTATACTCAGTGTTCAGAAAGAGGCCCACAGTTAATCAGGCAAAGCCTGTGATAGCATTTAGATACCCAGCCATCCTCCACCTGACCCACCCCTGCTGCCCCTGGCAGCCCTACGCCCCACCAGCCTGTTTTTCCTTTTTCTCCTTACCTTGCTATCTGCCCCTGGCCCTGGCCAGTTGTGGCAGATGATGGGGTGCATCTTAAAGGTGGGTAAGGGCAAAACAGATAAGCTTCTCAGGTATCCCAAAGGGCCTTCCCCAAATCCTGTGCCCCTCAGTTTTGTCACCACTCCCTCCTGTCTTCATCCGCAGGTCACAAGGACAGGCCCCAGTGAGAGCCCAGGACTCCAGCCCTCTCACCCAGCACTCTCACCCTCTCCCTCCACACTGAGCTGAGGCCAGCCGCACCCCCACCCCCCCACCATCCCAGGAGTTAGCAGCCACTATGGAGGTGCCATGGTCTGAGCCCGACCCCACACCTCCAAAACAAAGAGGGAACACCCCTGCTCTACAAAGGCTCTCTCCTGGTTGTGACTCTGACGCCTTCCCCCTCACACACAGACAACCTATTTCAGGCTCTCCTGGAAGCTGAGAAGCTCCCAAGGCCGGCTGCTGAGGCTTCTTCCCAGCACAGGCCCAGCTGGGAGGTTCAGGAGTACACCTGGAGGTGCTAGGGAGAGAAGCCGAGATGAAGGTGCAGGGCACTCTGCCCCCAGACTCCCCTAGCCTTGGGGACAGGCTCCCTGGAGCCATCACTCCTCAGGCACAGGTGCTGAGGCAGGAGACTCACTGGATCCCAGGCGCTGTTGTGCCCCCCACCCCCTACTGCATAGCAGTCTCTGGGGGAATCCGTCAAAACAGGGACCGCCTGGGCTCCTTCCTGGCCCTCCACCTCCTTCACTGGGCAACCTTGGGCATCAACTTCTAATCCAGAATGTGGGGACAAAAGTGCCATCCTCAGGAGGGTATTGCAGAGATTAATGAGATGACATAGTAAGTGCTCAGTAAGTTTCCTGTTATTTCTTCTTCTGTAAAATGGCTATAATGCCTAGTTAGTTGTGGCAGTTAAATACCAGGTGGAGGTGCTTTCTGTGCACATTGTGGCACACAAGGCAAATAGAAATCATGATGTTGTAGTGTAAAACCCCCAAAGTGCGAGCTCCTCATTTAAGTCCAGATTGAGTGTTTTACATTTGTCTTTCATTACAATGCTTCTCCAGAAAAGTCCAGGATATTTTCAGACTCTTGCCTCATTTGTCCTCATGGTGTATCTGTGAAGTATCGATTGGGAGGGAGTCCTTGTCACACTTTTGCAGACAGAGGTGTGAAGTGGTTCGCCCAAGGTCACACTTGGCTTCCAAGAGGGGCCCTCCCAGGGCTCCACATGGATTGTGTCCCAGCCACTCCTCCACCAGCAGCCACTTTCCTGCCTGAAGGGAAGGCTTAGGCCAGATGCTCTTTCCACGCCTGTTCCAGCTCTCAGATCTGAGACTGACCCCTGGCCAAGGGATTGTTTTGGCAAATTATCAGCTCTCTCTGATCACGAAGGGAGGCGAGCCAAAGG